GTCCTGCAAATGACGAAAGCGGCCGCGAAACCAATAGCCCAGACGAAAACTGCCTCTTGTACTGCCGGGTAGCTTTCATTGTTTCCCACCTCAATGCTTCTCTGCTTGACTCCAACAAAGCCTGCATCTGTCGATGGGAGCCTGGGATATTCGGCCACATCTCCGTCATTCCCTTCTCGTCCCTGCACATCGGTGCTAAACATACTGACTATCTCCTTTCCGTCTCATCAAGGGGTCCAGCAGTTCTTTCCATTCCTTGATACTCCAATCACCGCTGCCGGCTTCAACGCCATTGACCAGGAATGAAGGGGTTCCCATCATTCCCCTTGAGCAGGAATACTGCACGTGACAAACCAATCAGCAAACAACACATGAAGGAGCGTCGATGTATTAAACCCTTGAGCACTGTTCTTAAACTTTTGAAAAGAAGACGGCAAAGCGCTGCCTTTCTATCCCTTGGCATGTCACAAACCAGCTGGCAGCACCTCTTCATCGCTGCAGAGTACAAGAAACACACTGGAGTTTGTGGGCTGGGAACATACGACGACACCAGACTGACGACGATACCAGTGCAGCAAACAGTGCCGTTGCAGCACGCCAACCTGGAGTAGTGTTTATACTACAACCTTTTTTTCTTTTATCTTTTTTTTTTTTTTTTTTTTTACCATTTCTCGATTGATGTGTGTCATCCTTGCGCAGGGGCCATGCTAATCTTCTTTCTCTGTATTGTTCCAATTTTAACGAATGTCCCGAAGGACTGTTTATACTACAACCTTATTTTGGTGATTTCTTGGATTTCTATCCACAGGCTACCAGGCCAGGTGCCAGGTTGACTTCAGCCTTCCACGGAGAGTAGTCGAGCAGGCACCCACTTGTGGTCATCAGTGAGTTGAAACGGTATTCACCTGTTTGCAGTAGCCGATGCAGATCCCAGGGCTCGATCCCTAGTCAACACCTTACCTGTGTACAGTCTTTGCGTCGACCGCGAGAGTTGAACCGGCGACCTGTGTATTTGTAACAGTTGGTAGACTGTCGTAGGGTCCGCAGGCAGTAGGGGTTCGATCTGTAGGCCTGTCGTGTAGGAATCTTAGCAAGGTCTAGAAGTCGTAGCTGTAGCTCCTGCAAAAGGTCAAGGTCGTAGCTGCTACAGTCCTGAAGGGTCAAGGTCCTAGCTGCTACAGTAGCGAAAGGCCAAGTCCACGGCCTTCCGGAAGGTCACTGCTTAGCAGTGACCTTAGCAGTGACCTTAGCAGTGACCTTAGCAGTGACCTTAGCAGTGACCTTTCGAAGTTGCTCACGTTTAGGCTGAGGCAGGTGGACAAGTGGTGGAGTCTACCCGTGCTGAGTCAGCGGTCCCGGTCCCAGTCAGTCCTAGTCCAGTCAAACAAGCACCGCATGGGACTGTGTGCACTACGGGCATGGGAAAGGGCCAGACCAACGAGCCACCGAAGTATAAATCAAGAGGCAGCGCCCAGCCATTCGTTCATTCCTGCGTGAGCCATGCGGAAGCGCTGCCACAGCGACTTGTGCGAGGTGGTCTGCAGTGAGCCCGAAGACGAAGTGGGCGAGCGAGAAGGAGCTTAGCCATAGCGATAGGGTAGCAGCGGCCATGGCCGCCATAGCTGTAGATAGAGTTCAGCGTGTGGGATCTCCAGGGTGATCCTGTGTGTGCGAACAGAGAGTTGAGTTGTACAGGCGCTGTGTCACCATAGCCATTCGAAGTGAACTTGTATCTGAACTGTGTTCTGGTTACCATATCTCTGAGTTTGGAGTGAGCGCTTGTCGCCAGTTTGCTGCGCATCCTGTTTGCATGCATGTGACGTGTGAACGAAACCGAGTCTGATTGCAGAGTCCACCGCACGGGAAAAAAACAATAAAAAAAATCCAGAGAAATAAAAATGTTGTGTGTGTGTGTGCAATTGAAGTACCTTGAAACCGCTACCGCTCGAACCATGCACTAAGTGACAGACAGGTGTGTGCGACTCCACCGCTGCCGCTCAAACGCTGCACGCCAATCTCGCCCACAGTAAACCCTCTCTGAGCCTCTTCATGAAAATTTCATGGCGTAAAAGAAGACGTGAGTTCACTGAGTACAGTAAAAACCGTCTCTGAGCCTCTTCCTGAAGATTTCATGACATAAAAGAAAGGCAGCACTCACCTCTAGATCTTTGCGACAAAACATAGTCAAAGATAGCAGCAACCAACTCGGACTCCACCATAAGAGACAGGTACCCATGTATTCGCTCGGGACAACGGAGTAACCGATTGGGAGATCTTCATGGCAAACACTATCAAAGATAATAGCAACCAACTCAACAGCAATAATCGGACTGAATTGAACTCCGAAATCACAATCATGCAAAGACTCCAAACTCACACCATACTAGAACAGCAAAGCAAAGAGCCAGATATCAGCCGAGATTCAAAGATATTATTCTAAAAATACAATATTGGTGCAAGCATCCGAACTCAAGCTACATGCCGCTATGGCCGCCACACGCTCCCCCTCAGGTATGGACTCTCTCCCTCTCTCACTATGTCTGCCTCTCTTTCACTCCTCTATGCCTGCCTCTCTCTCACTCTCTCTATGTCTGCCTCTCTCTCACTCTCGTTATGTCTGCCTCTCTCTCACTCTCCCTCGCTCTTCACTCTTACTTCTCTCTCTCTCTCTCTCTCTCTCTCTCTCTCTCTCTCTCTCTCTCTCTCTCTCTCTCTCTCTCTCTCTCTCTCTCTCTCTCTCTCTCT